CCTTTGTTAGTGTTATTTTCAATGAACATGTTTAATTAAACGGAATCTATACATTATTGACTCAAGACTAAAGAAATTATTTATAAACCCGCATTGTTTTAGTCAAGTATTTTATAAAAATCTTCATTCTTCATCATCATACTATTTTGATGATATCATATTATCACTGGAACATATGTGAGCCAAATTACAATTAAATAAAATAGCACCAAAAATTCATCGCAAATCTATAGGTACCCATATTATATAGCAAGTGTAAATTTTGTTATAAGGAAAACAAAATTAAAAACTTTGTACTTTTTTGTTTTTTTTTTTTTAATTCTTGCACTACTTAAAATCTACATTATTTTAGAGTGACATAGGCTATATACTATCTTAATATATACACAGTTAGCCCGGGCGAAGACCAAGCCGGCTTTTAGTAGTCAAATAAAAAATTACAAAAACCATTTCAGCTAAGTAGCAGTAATTACGATACTTATAGCATCTAAATTATTCAATGTAGATGTATTGCCTCGCTAGACGAGAGTGGCTGGCATAATAAATCGGTTGCTAAGAAAACCGCAATGTAACACACCATGCCGACGGGAGCGAATAACTCATTAACTGGAGGCGCGTTTACGAGGTCCGCTATATCGCGGGCCGCTGGGATAATGACGCTAAACCGATATCCTTATTTACTGCAAATTGCGTTGGCTCTTACGTCTTCAGCGCCGTGTATTGGTAATACGACGATATACAGAAAGCAAGGCAATTGTCTACAGTTTCCTTAAGCTGTTAAAAACGTTTTCGTACGTACAAAAATTGCTAGCTTTTTGTTTATTGGGTTTCCTTTTAAATTTTGTTTGTATGCAATGTATATTTGTTTAAAAGATAATTTAGCTTGTTATATTTTTAATTAATACATTTAATAGCGTTTTAATATGTGTGTATTAAATACAAATATTTACTTATTTCTCACGTAATTAAAATTACTAATAGATTTTTTTTTATTTATATATTATCATTTACTTACTATCTTGATTGTTTGTTTGCGTTGAGTAGGATCCGAAACTACTGGTCCGAATTATAAACATACTTTACCATTAGAATCCTACATAATCCATGATTAGCAACTATAAAACAATTTCAAAACCTTCAAACCTTCAAAACCTTCATTTTTCATATGGATCCCTAATCCATATGAAAAATATAAAAGTTAAATACCCGTGTGACACCAGGGCGGGTTGTTAGTATAACATATTTCTTACAAAAGCGTGTTGGTACGGACACGTCATGCGGAGGAGAGAAATCTGAAAGCAGGAACGTGTTAAATATTAACGTAGGAAGAAAAGGAACTTCTTTACATCCACTCAGCCAAAGAAAAGATTTTTGCTCTATAACGCAGTATATATGTGATAAACATAAAAGAAAAGTTCAGGTAAAACGACCGATAAGGATCATCGGTAGATAGAAACATTTCTTTACTAAATAATGGAACAAATAAACATAAGTAGTGCAGTGATAACTATGATGGACTTTATTTTTACAGAAATATGTGTACGTACTATATTACTGAAAGATGATTATATTATTCATGATATATATATTTACAGAAGTATAAAACAGTGTTACGAATATGGACGCCCTATTACAAGTTCATATAATTTCAAACCATATGTAAGTGATGACATTACAGTTCAATAAAATTTTCTAAAATATATTGATAGAAACCTTAAAGTAAAATTAAAAAACAATACTCTTACGGTAACAATAATTTTCATTATTTTATTTATAAACTCTTTATTGCACCAATCGAATTAATACATAAGAGAATTAGACAGAAAAGAGATATGGAAGTACAAAAGGCGGTCTTATCGCTAGAAGCAATTATTATTTATTTTACCATTATTATAATATTTAATAGATGAGATATGGTCCTTCCGACCAATCCTCCGTCCAATTCAAACGGGAATCGAAATTACGACGCCCTGAACCTAGATTTGAACCCCTAGGGGTGTCCTCAAACTAAAGTCGTATCCATCAGGTGGAAATTGACCTTTAGCTAGCTCCACAAGTCCTTCTGCGGGTTCGCAGTGCCATCTAACGTCACCATCCAGAAATGGTATTTCCAAACCAATACGATATTGAAACCTTCAAAAATAGAGCTTTTCCTTCTTACAAGGCCGGCAACGCTCTTGCAATCACCCTGGTGTTCATGAGCAGCGGTAATCACTTCCCATCAGTAGCTCGTTTATATATGCTTCGTTTCGTTTACTATGCTATAAAAACAAACTTTTTATTTTATAATTCACGATAGTCTTTGAGAATTTCCAATTTTATACTGAATAAAGTTGTTTATAGATTAATTTCCGCAAATTTGGCGTCAAACTCGGCAGCGATTGAGAATGTGCAGACAAGAGCAAATCATGCGTGAAGTCGATTTGTAAAGGGCACGCGTCCGATCTCAGTAAGCGCTGTCAAACACACAATAAACTCGTTTACCTACCGAATAAGTTCGCTATTGATGAAAATTATTTTGTATTTTAACGCCAGTAATTGAAATTTCATTAAGTATATTAAAATATCACTAAATATTCAAGTAATTTAAAACGATGTTCTTTTTAAATTGAGTTAATGGATTATTTTAGATCGATATAATATACTTTATTTATAACATACAGTATAAAAAAGACAATTAAAGAACACATGTTCATATATTACAATAATTAATTACCTTATTGCAGAAAGCTATACTTTCAAGCAATTTTTTATATTTCATTACTTAAAAGTATAAAATCATTGAAGAGAAATATAATAATGTATTCATGTGTAATATAAAACAACGAAAATAAAAAGAAGCCTAAGTGATTCTTAATCCTGATCTAACAAACACAAAGAAGAAGAAATAGTAGACAGTATGAAAAATAATGACAATATCTCCTCGACGTGTTGGAGTTTAAAAACATTTATAAAATGGCAACGCGCCAAACCGTTCAAATAGCAACATTGACAACAACATAGTATTCGAAATTGCATTTTATTTTTAACAGCATAACGATGTAATTTGTCATATTCAAAAATAAATTATCTTAATGATATTATTCGTTATTATACGCGTGTTCAGATCTCGAAAAAGACTTCAATCATTAATGATTTACACATCGACAAATAATAATTTCCAGATACCAATACCTGAACAATTTAACTAGAAAGTTCGAACATACAATACCTGCCTATAATATATGAGAATTTCGCTCAAATAATCTGATATCATATCATCAGATATTAACTAGATGGCTATGGAAAAAAAATTGACTGAGAGGAATTGTGGAGTAGAAATAGGTACAATAAATAATACGCATCACATAATATATACACAAATATATGCAAACATATATAGATTAATATAGTATATACATACTTATAAATAAGTAATAATTACGTTTAGTTAAGTTACTGGATATGCTTACTTGTTCACTTTACTAGCGATTCGCACCAAGTTGTCCTACAAATGTTTTTCTCTCTATCAGCTCTCCTTCTCTTCCTCTATTGCCCCATCACATTTATTTCAGAAAGTTAGTATGAGAAAGATGTCCTGCTGATTCTGGAGCATAGTATAGTGGCGCCCCCACCCACTCTCAACTTTACTGTTTTGTTATCATAAGATAACAAAACAGTAAAGTTGGACTCCATTTTCCGCAACCAGCCTCTCGTCTGGGCCGTTATGCGTGTAGAGCCAAGACTACTGGAGTAGCCAGCCAAGCACCTCTTAAAAACGCAGAAGTCTTCTGGTGTCTTCACAGGCTTCACGAAGCGACCTCATCGATAAACATAAACCAATCTTTATAAGATAATCATAACAATAGCGATCGACATACTACTTTTTTGAAATCGGTTAAAAATTACATTTATAAAATCATAACAATGTTATTCTCCATAAAATATCTCCAATACTTACCGTTTAATGCCTCCCACGTATAAATAACAGCGTTATCATACCGAAAAGGGTCTTTAAAATCCAGAAATTCCCCAACGGGCAGTTGTACGTAACGAGAGAACCTTTCGGAAAGCGGGTAGTTAGGATTTTGTGGAAACCACTTCCTGCCTGACCCCATAATTATAGTTGTTCGTTGTATTTGATATATTGAGGAAGTTGCTCGTACAGCGTACAGTTGGTGCCAGGAGTTATTATATATGGCTATTGTTTTTGTAATAGCAATTTACACAATTAAATAGCTAATTTTGCGCACAGATATTCTAATAATTAGACGGATCAAATTACTTTATCCGTGCTATAACGTTTCATGTTACCAGCAACATGGCCTGTTTATTTTTTTAACTAGCTGTTACCCATGTCTTCGTCCGAATGAAATTTAACTTTTTTTATTAAATTAAATTAAATGTCCTAAATAAAAGTATACTAAGTTACTTCCTATAACTGTAGCTATCTATCTATCAGCAACTGAGAGTGCTATCAAAATCGGACCAGCCGTTTCATAGATTAGCAAGTACAATCATATAGACAAATTTTTAACATTAATTTTTTGGTACTGTGTAAATTGCATGACAGTGAAAAACTGTTAATTTGAAATTACAGACAAAATTTATTTGTCCTTATTAAATTAGATTTATAACAAAGTTTTCTGTGTGGATACCGTAGTCGCACCTGTTTCAGCCATCAAGCAGTTCATAAGATGTTATTTGGTTGATGGATGAGATAAGGCAGTTAATTTTCAGGATAAGAGGCGTGATATCTTTCTCCGGGATGGCAAGATCCCTCATGGATATACTCGACGGTTCCCACTTACCATCAGTTGTGCTAGCAGCTTGTTATATCATTCGAAATACATAAAATATATTCGCCGATAATATCAACTTACAATAAGTCATTAATTTTGGAAATCCATCAAGTATTTTTGGAACATATCGATTACAGACAAGAAATCTGATTTTACTTTGTTAATATTAATTTAGACTGTAATATACAAATAATAAGATTGTTATTTCTTTGTTTACAGGACACAACACTTCGCTATAAGCGAAATCACAGAACGTTAATGGTGAGTCCCTAAAAAATTACTTTCACCTAATTACTAAGCATAATAGAACCCCCAGAACATATCAACTGCGTCTAATGCTATATATAATTAATTAATGAGAATTGAGATTTGAATAAATTTAGAAATAGCAAATTTGCAAGTATCGTATGATTCCATGATACATACACCGATGAAGACTTAAGTTAATTCAAAGCAGATTACAAAAAAAATCATCAATACTCCACAGTCAGCTATGACCCATTTTATGTAGGCGTGGCCCCCATATGCCAGTTTACCCGTATTGTATTGTATTAATCTTAGTATACTGTAATATATACTACTTGTAATTAAAGATGTGTGTAATATATGTATACAAATAAAAATTCTATCTATCTAAAATTAAATAATAATCTTATCTATCTATCTAAAATTAAAACAGCCCATAATTTGTAATCTGAATATAATATACAAAAATTGTTTAATGTGGCTGTTCCCGTATTGGGTTCATACGGGAACAGCCAGATTAAACAATTTTTGATTATATATATATTATTATATATACATATATAAATGATTATTTTTTATTAGTACAACTACTAAGTAGTAATTGCAAATTTATAACTATATTAAAAATTTCAATATCAATCACAGTATTTTTTATAAATTTACAAAAAATATTTTACTAAAACTGTGTAGGTACTATCAGATATCACTGTGATTTGATATTGAATAGAACTTTCCAGACATATTTAACTTTTCAGCTTCTAATTAAGATAATGATATCACAGAATATATTTTACTAATATTTTTAATACGACTATCATTAACCAATTAGGTGCGTTGATAATTAATTTAAAAGGTGAGCACTTGCAAAGATTTGAGTTGATTTTAGTTCAATATGCATCATTATATGAAATATATTATATAATATAATCAATTATATGAAAAGTGGGAGCAACTCGTATAAGTTTTAAATTTAAATAATTAATAAACAGAACAATTGGACATCTGTGGGATTGTAATAGATAAGTTAAATTAAGCCTTATAAGGTTGGTTCTCGACCGACCCTTCTCTGAAACAAGGGCTAAACATTTTGAGTGAACTATATGTTTCTTTATAATTTTTCATAATATACTACATGTTAAAGAATTGTAATTTCAAAGACCAGAAATTGAAAGTTATTCCTTTGCTTCATAAGCCTCAGACAGGCATAACGAAGTCTAATTCAAAAAGGTCCGAAAACCGCACTTTGATCATTCAAATATCGTTTTAAAATACCACTAAGTGCCGTAACCTCATTTCCCCCCATAACCATGTTATAAACTGACGACATAACTATTTAAAACTTTGAGCAATTCAATAGCCTTTACAGTAATATATCATCAGACATTCAGATTTATTCAACATGTTTTCGCGCTCAAATATAATTAACTGTCAGCAATTTCAATTGGCTAGTCTTTTTATGTCTGAACGTCCACAACTCTCAGTCTCCAGTCGATTGCCCATTAAGTGATCACTGCTTCACTTTACCTTTTTTTAAAACAAATAAAATTTGAAAAATGCAACCTTTAACACAGGAAATAAACACTCAATATCTTAAACATTGGCTTTTATAAATAACATTTTCGTTTAATTTACGAATAAATTTGAGGTATTTCGAAATAAGAATCATTTTTTCAAAGAGAACGAAACTGTTACTTTATTTTGGTACCGGTACGGTGTATAAAGTTTTACATACAGAAACCTTATTGAAGGGTTTAAGCTCCAACTATAAACTAGCGTACGCTTAGGAAACAATGCTGAAAATAAAAATTAAACGCAACTGGCGTGAATAAACGCAAAATTGAAGTGTTACAGCTAGAAAAAGTTATTACTCATAATTAGCCCGCGTAAACTTAATTTTCCCGGGACCGAGTCATGTCGAAAGATATTTTTTACAATTTCGTTTAATTACAACATTGAATTATAGAATATTAGTATCAGAGAGGTAACTCTTATGTTTAAAGTATGAACTGTTTATATTATAGAAATAAATTTCTCCTTTAAGATTTTATAATCTAAACTCGCAATATTATTATTACCGGAACTATTAATTCTCCAATTTAAATGTAACTTGAATTGGGAAAGTGATCTCCTATATCAACACTATCACAGCCATCATGTCATTATATGAGATCCGTTGTACCCATCAGCGTTGTCATTTTTGATGACTAAGTTATCATGCATTCGATTTTGCAATGTCACTGTCATATCTCTTACTTCAAGCCCGAATACAGCATACAAAGCAAGTTGCTTTACGGCTGCATTAGATGAGATAAAAGCATCTACACTAATGCTTTTATATTAATATATAAATGTATAAACTAACTAGAACGTGGTAGAGAGATTTTCATAAACCTAATTAACATGATCCTTGCAAATTACTTTGTCTATACACTTAATAATAACGTCACACGACCCGACCACGCATTCCAACTGTTTTAACCTTCATTTACCTAAACTAGTGCAATCAGATTCAGCATTAACAGCACATCCCAATAAAGGTAGACCCGTAAACGTACATCACAACGTAATTAGCCAAACGTGCGTCCAGAGCACGTACGATCCAAAATTCCTTACCTCTTAATCAACGCTAGAATAGAGAGCGATAATAGGTATCTAATGTGACAGCTAATTTCCTGAAAGAAGTGCCGCACCTTCTAAGGTTTTTATTGTCCCACTCGCAATTCCCGTCACGAGTCCTCCCCTCCCCTCGCTCCTCACCTACCGCCGCTTCCACCCCCTGCATCTATAGGGTGCAGTCATCAAGCCCGAAAACTTGTGAATTAAAACGTGCTTAGATTGTAACAGGAGTTGGAATCTGAAGTAGGATTGTTACGCAACTTGTCGGATGCCGGCGCTAAAGTTTCCAAATGAAATCTGTTAATAACTGAACGAGTTGCCCTTTTCCTTCCTGTGATGGATGTGTTCGAGGAGTTTTAACGGTAAACGTTGAAGTTGGGGCTTTATAGCGCTCAGTTACTATCTACAACAGCTATATTTATTGCTGACTCACTTCCGTTTGTAGATGGGGTGTATAGAAATAAATACTTGCAATATATCTATAGACAGTAACAGTGCAGAAGTGACAATAAAATATAATGACAATTCTAAAAACTATAAACTACATTCAAAATTAGTACTATATACACATAATATATAAAAATGTGCAAAGGCTTTGCAACACTAACAATCAATTTATTCCGTGAACTATGGTTATTATGTGGATACATATTCTTACTATAAACTGTATTTAGAGGCCAATTAAGGCTATTTATAAGTACATTGAAACTATCTGAGTCCAACCGCACTTGGGACCAATAGTATACCACTTATCTACGCCTTGGATGGTACTACACAAGAAATCGCCACCACTCCCCGCTAGGCACCAACTTGGGTACTAGCGCTATAGAGAACCCATCCCATTAATTGTCAGAGGAGAATCCACAGATTGAAACTTTATAAGATTAGTAATTCGCATGGATACTCCAGAGAAATACACTCGATAAGTTTAGTCAAGTAACTATAGTCCTTACAAAACCCGCGCTATTTTAAATAAAATAATATGAAACTGCAAATCTATTTTTTTGTTCGTTTGTATTTGTTTGTATAGATTAATTTTGAATCTTTCGTCACATAGAATAAGATATTTTTTCTAGAAAACTATATGTACCCTGTACATAAATTAATTAAAGTTTCAGAAGTGCAGTATTAACTCCTAAAACGTAGTGTTTATTTGCTCAGTGCCTTTTTTTTGCCGACGCGACCTACTGCAAAAGTAGTAGGTACTAAACTGTAAAAGTACTGCAGAGGTACTGGGCTTGTTTCATTTTATTCTCAATTTTTTCGATACGATTTCGAATTTTGAATTCGACTTCTGTCAATACAGCTGCAAGTTTGTAGCGTATTTTGAGGTTATTGCAAAATGAACCTCAAAATAATATTGTTCAACTTTGATGTAATAATGTATGACCCAGTTAGACCACTACATTGAGCTGTAATAAAAAAAATTGTAAATAAGTAGGTAGTAAAAATAAGTTCACGTAGTCTTTAATTTCATTTTAAATGGAAAGAGCATTCTAGACATGACATAATAAGTCTAAGGCAATAATCTAGATAATTTAAATGCAAATTGACTAGATATGCAGCTATTTAATTAGAAGGAAAGCTTCAGACGATATAAGGTTCAGAATAGGAGATATTGGAATGCATTTACGCTATAAATTGCTGGATGGATTTTGCTTAATTGAAATTTAATCTTATTACCTATAATCCTATTTTAGCATCTAAAATATAGACACAAAGTAAAACAATATTATACCTATAACTAAGTTAGATATTTGTAGAAATTAGATGTATACAAAAAATATTTTTGACAAGCTCATCAATAACGATTTTGACAGTTAGCCGCCATTTTTCATTTCCCATCGAAAAGTAGAATCCGCGCGAAAATCGCACAGTCAAAGGTCGCGTTCGAAACAAAAAAAGTCCCCTGTTCCGTGTCACTCGGAAACAACGGAACTGCGCTGAATGTACCTATCTTTTCGCTTCCCATTGCAGCTTCGTTGCTACTCCACAAACTTTTTAGCGTAGCTGACGCGGCAATGGAACTCGTTCTCTACAGTTTAACAAATCTAATGTTCGCAAAGTGGGTCGAAGTACGTACTTCGATCAACTTCCAAACCATTTATTCGCAAATCAAGTTATTGCACCTCCCGCAGATCGCTTTACATAGGTCATTTGTGGAAATTACACCTCTGAGCAACCATTTGAATGTTTATTTTCCAGGATTTATGTGAAAAATGTTTGCTGGAAATATTTCCGAAATTATTATAAAGTTTTCATAGTACGTGCTCGGGTTTTCTTAATTTCCTTATTCGAAGCAGTGCATAAGCCGTCATTTATAACATCGCGTGGCAAAGATAAATACGCCTATTTATCTTAGCCTGTATGGGTACAAACCGTATTTTATAATAACTGTG